ATAAAACATTTCCCCACACTTCCTAAAAACCTTTTCAGATTGATCACGCTACTTCAGCACTTGCTAGCATCCCGACCAAATAAACACCCACACCTCTTATAGAGTACACTGTGAGAGAAGTACATGGACTTGAAATGGCATCACACTTGTTTAAAGCAAAGAAAAAAAATGATAATAATAAAGGAAGTCCAAGATGAGAAACTGTAACTGAGAGAAAGAGAGATCTGAGGTACATGGTACAAGAGTAATGAACATAATGGAAAAAATCCAATGGCCCCGTGGTTTGCTGGGTATTTAAGAGGCGGCTAGCAATAAGAACTGAAACCCACTGACAACAAAACACCACCTTGCTTTTTAAAGGATGGGCACCTGTTAAAATACATGGAATACTATAATGGCTACACTCGGTAAGGCACTTATTTCTCCAACCTAGGCTGCAGGCAAAGGAATAAATGATGCGGCTACAGCGTGCATGGATACATTTGCTGATGGCTTCTTGAAACCTGAGCCAAGAATCAGGTCCGATAGCCCAGCCAAGCCTAAAGCAGAGGCACACAAATATAGGAGAACAGTTCTGAAAAAGTTAGACTGAATGATGTTCTGGGTTTAGAGTCTAGAATCGTGAAAAACCATGTGGCGTGAGGAAGTCATAAACATTCTCTGAGTCTGTCTCCCTGCCCTATTTTGTACAAATGGACAGTGGCATGAGCAGCTCTTGAGAACGGGTCCAAGCCCATAGCAGTGGAAGCCTGCACTTTCTATAGCTGGTTTGTTGGCTTAAGGGGACTTGACTGTCTCAGCATTGATTTCCCTTTTAAAGCTATTCTCAGGGTTGGACTGGCTCAAAGATAAACAAAGAGGAATCCTTTTGGCTTAGAAGCCAGCTGGCTTACTCAGACCTCCTCCCATCCCTACCTTCCATTCCCATACTACCAACATCATCTCCTTGAACTAGAAAATCATTATTTACATGATATAAGGTGCAAGTCTATTTCTTCTCCCAGGCCTACCGGCTTTGGGCCATGGAGAGAAAAGTCCCCTGCCCTCTTTGAGAAGTCCTTATTAACCCCAGCCCCAGAGCCCCAGAGCCCCAGGGAAGTGTGGAGACTGCAGGAAAGCCACGGCTCCCTCTGAGAAGAGCCTACCCTAGTGAGGGAATGAGGCTGATGCAGTCAGACTTGCCTCCTCACCCAGTCTTGTCACTTAAGCCCCTGCTAGTCTCCGAGCCATGTGTCCCCTGGCAGGACGACAGAGGCAGAACAGAGCCTCTGGAACAAAGCGTGTAGACCGAGGAGGACCTGGCCGTCAGGCGTGGTGAGCCCTCAGCGGTTGGTCAGGGGGCAGACCCAGCCCAGGCTCCTCTAAGAGCAGTCGTTCTGAGGGGCTGTCCTCTGGGCAGCGGGGACTCTCTGCTGGGGATCTGTCCCCTGCTTCCACCTGCAGGCTTCGTGGCTGATATGAACCCACAGGAATTAAATTATGCTTTTAGCATATATTTTTGACATGCTAGGATTTTCCCCACCTAGGGTTTGGCCAAAACAGGGAGAGGAACAAAATTTGGCAAGCTTGGGGAACAACTTAGCCCCCACTGATGGAGAAAAAAAAACACAAAAAGACGAAGAGGAGGAAGAAGAGATTTCTTTTGTTTGTTTTAAGGTAGAAAAAGATCAGAACAGGTTTGAAACCCCTTTAGATAGGAAGTGAAAAAAGAAAAAAACAAAACCACGAAAACTGAGCTTCTCTGAGACAGTCTCCTACCAAGGAAACCAAGATCCAAGGAGAGGGTATCAGTCACTTAAATGATGAGCTCCTTCTCTTGTCTAAAGGAGGGGACAGGCAGGAAAACCAGACAACTAGCACCTTCCCCAGCAGCAGCCCACACCTAGCACCTGGGCCCCGAGGAGGACAGAAAGACTAGAAGGCCCTGGGGTATCTGGGCCTGAGGAAAAGCAGGAAGTTCTAGGCTGCAGGGAGTCTGTTTCCTTCCTCGTCAGGTTCTCTCAGTTGCTGCTGCTTCCGTTTGCGCTTCAGGGCTGGTCACTAGGGAGTAGGTTTGTACCCTCAACTCGTCTTTAGGCTCCCGGACACTCCTGAGCTCTAGGACCAGCCTCTCTGTGCTGCGGGCTCCTCAGGGCCAGCAGTGTCCTGTGCAAAGCGGGCTCTTGATAAAAGACTGCCTGACAGCTTTCCTCTCCAGAACTTCAGAACTCACCACCCACTACCCCACCAGAAACTCCCTAGAATGTAGGGTTCTACTAACTCACCAAGTCCCAGACCTTCTAAATACCCCGTGAGAATCTCCCGCATCAGGACTCGCACAGCTGTAAGGAAGCAGCCTCGCCACGCCCCCTTCAACTACCATCCAGTCATCATCCTACCTATTTCCCCAGTCAAGCCAATTCAATGCGATTTGCACCTAAAAACATGTACTGCTGCTTCGGAGAGGACCTGGCCTTGCTGCCCCGTCGGAGACCAGAGGAGGAGGAATCCCCACAACACTGCGAGCTGCAGATTCAGACCTAGAAAACCCTGTGGTCACTGTCCCCTGGGGATGCCTGTGTCAGGGAAAGAGAGGGAGGGAAGGGTCCCTGCAGAATGAGAGGACCCCAGCGACGAAAGCCCTGCTTTCGGAAGGGCTGCAAGATGAGGGTCTCCAAGCAGCCTGCTGAATGCTTTAGCCTGTCTCCTGATACCTAAGTGCAAAGCGTGGCTTCCTCATCACTGCCTAAATGTCTGTGCTGAATGTCTGCATGTGTGTGTGTGTATGTGTGTGGAGGGGGGAAATCCCGTGGTTCAATTGCATTTTTTCCATCATAATGAGGATACCAGAGTCAAAATGGAAGCCTGATGACCTTCATTACTGAAAAGGTCCCAGGGTGTGAGCCCCGGGCCAAACCTACCCCGCTGCCCGCAGCCTCCTCCCGCCTTCTTCTCTCCACACCCATGGGCTTCCAAGCAGAAACTGTATGTGTGGTTGTGAGGTATTATGAAAACAAAAATGTGAATTGTTTTCTGTTGTAGCTATTGATGTTTGTCCAGTAAACCTGAGGTAAAGAATACTCTGTCTTTGAAGAATATGACCAGAGAGGGAAAAAAAAAATCCAAAAGGAAAAAAAACAAAAAACACCAACTGTGAATATGCTACCAGAAGAAAAACTATGAAAGGGCTTTTCCAGTACAAAGAACTCATATAGCAACCATCTACTTCAGGACTTGGAATTTAAGCAGTAAAATAATATATTATAAAAATGTTTATAAAATAGCAGCACACTCTGTGAAAAACATTACAGCTAGGTACTGTTAACGTGAATAAGGATGAATTAGCTTCTTAGCAGCGCAAAAAAAAAAAAGTAATAAAAAAAAAACTGAACATAATAAAATGAAAATAAGAGACCCTTAGGTTTTTCTCCATCTTCAATCCCCATACTATGAAACAAGGCAGAATCTGTGTACAAAACAATTCTTCAAAGGAGCCCTGTTCTGATTTTTCTTTTTTTGCTTAAAAAAAAAAAAAGCGGCAAATATTTTAACAAATAGCTTCATTACCTGTCAATTATAATTGTGCAAAAAAAAAAAAATGTTGCTCCAATCTCCTGGCTAACTGAATGTGTTTAAGAAGTGGAGAGGGGAAAAAATTAAAGTACATTGAACAACTTTGCAACTAATTAACAGAAAGTGTAAAAGGGAACAAAATGCCACACTGCTGTTCAGCTGTCGTTGCACCAGCAATAACTTTTCTTTCCGTGTCCAAAGGGGAAGAATATAGGTGGGAGTGAAGATCCTTACATGCCATCAAAACGGTAACAGATCTTTGTTTTTAGGTTTTTCTGAGGAATGTTGTGATGGGAATGTCAGCAGAGAGGGTTGTCTCTCCATTCCTAGGAGGGACACCAGAACTGTGTACCAGAGAATGCCAGATACCAGAAGCGAATAGTACCAGGTGGGAAGGGGCGGGGCACCAGAGAAGAAGGGAGGAGTCTACTCAGTATAACTTGCATAAACCATCCCATCTATCCCTCTGGAACAATTTTTCAAAGTGCTTTTCGAATGGAATGGTTTATAACAACGCTAAAGTGTGGACCAGACATGCCAATCAGCACCAAAAATTAGTTTTCTCCTAATAAGGAATGCCAGGGTCACATAACTCTCTTTAGGTGTTACAAGATTCCATTCCAGATCCCAACCTTGGTCTCCATCTGCCTCTGTTTCATGTGAGGTTTGGTAATGGCCCAGAGCCACATTGCCCCTTTAGACAAAATATGGTGGTACACGCGATGAACCATGTTTGGAAGAAGAAGCAAGATGTCAAAAAACATAAACCCAGGTCCAAATCACCTGTGTCCAACTGGGGAGTAAAACATCTGTTTTAAGTAGCAGCTACTGTAGACAGCAAGAGTTCCTAACTAGAGATCCAGCAATAATCCTGACTTAGTCATAGGTGTCAAGACCAAAGGTGCTTCTACATCCAAAATGGTTCAGTCACGCTGAGAGATTGTTTCATCCTCCCTCCCCACTGTGTCCATCCTTGTTTCCAATTCCTTCTCAAGTTCATGGCTTGGCAATCTAATGCCGTAAAATGTATACACGGTGGTTGGAAGTTATCCTAGTAGGGGTGTATATGTGCTAGTTTATAACATGAAAAAAAGTCTCCTCTAATTTCTTCCCATAATGCAGGCGTACATTTTCTCTAGCTACTCTGTAGTATACCTGTAAGCATTTTACTACCACTTTTAACATAATCAAGCAATAACTGTTCGAATACACAAGGGATTCCCTTCTACTGTACTTCAAATAGGCACCAAATGCTTTTAATTATTCCGGCTTTATCGGACCTTTTTCTCTCACTTCCAAAAGACCTTTCAATATGATCTAGGTAGGGGCAGAATTTTGTGTGTGTGTTTTTTTTTTTAATTTCACCCTAAAACCAAAAGAACAAAATAACCAGAGAGAAGGAGAGTGCAGATTTGAGCACATCTCTCCCATGCGGCCCGACTGACATCTCACAGGTCAATATCACGCACGTCTGTAGGGGTGCTGGCTTGGTCCACCACTTCCTCCTCCTCCTTGGATCCTTCCCCCGCTTCCTGAAACTGCTGCAGGTTGCTGATCAGCACCTCCTCAATCTGCTCCTGGCAGGCTTTGAGGCAATCCTAGGAGGAGAATGGTACAGACCAGAGAACTGTTAGCAACATGAACAGGGTATAGGGCATTTGATAAAGAAAATACACACACACACACACACACACACACACACACACACACACACACACACACACAGAGTTCAAACCCCCTATCATTCCATACTAGTTTTGCAGTAGAAATAAAGGAGATGTGTTTTTGACATGCCATGGAACCTCATTACTCCCAGTCCATGTTTCGCCATCACCTGGGAGCGTGTTAGAAATGCAGACTCTCAGGGGATTCATGTGCACAGGAGAATCTGAGAAGCTCTGGCCTAGATGGTGATCCATGGATGGGCACGCAGGGTCCGGGAGGGATCTAAGGGCCATAAGACAGTTCCCGGGGAAGTTGGAGATTATGGAGAAAAGGGACAGTTAGCACTGTAGTATGTAGACAAGGGATAAGAGAAGAATGGGCTGAACTGCACCAGCTCTCACTACTGAAAGTGCTTAAAAACAAAAAAATCTGTTTTTCTGCTCATCTACCATTCCATTAACTCTAAGAAAAATACAATTCAGAATGCTAATCAAATTCTGGACACTGTGCTGTCCAATTTGGGGATAAGAAAAGATGTGCAGGATTGCTCTGACATTAGTGTATTGGTAGGGAAAATGCCAAGTGTCTGCCCAAGGCAGAAGCTGCTGGTAGCTGGCTGGTGTGGAATGCAATGGCAATTCATGGTGTCACTAGGAGAGATTGTGGCTCCTCCTAAAAAGCAGGATGTGAGCTGCACCACTTGCTCAGTGGGTATTCCAACCTCTGTCCTCTGCGAGGCTGCTCTTCTGCACTCTCTTCGGCAGCGCACACACGTGGAAAATATACTCGGTTGAAGCTGCCTGGTTCTTTCCATGTGTCTGTTTCACTGTGCAGTTGTCAATGAACAGAGGTGACTGTTTGCCAAGCACAGAGGGGTCATCTTTATATCCCAAAAATCTAAAATAAAGTTGGAGGTAACTACTCGGAAACAGAATTTCCAGTCCCCCATCTCTCATCCACTCCACATTTCAAACTATAACTTTTTAAGAAAATTAAGAGTAGGAACAACTGCAGACGAGTGCTATATCCCCCAGAATGTAAAAGAAGAAAAAGAGGAAAGGCCAGGGAAGGCAGGGGAGAGTTTGGGGGTAGGGGGATAAAAAAATAAAAGAGGAAGGGTGGGTATTTGCTGACCTCCCACCATACTTGCAAGCAGCAGCTAAGTTAAGTTCTCTGATCTCAGTTTCCCCACTTGTAAAATAAGGATACTAAAACACTCATGGAGTAAAGATCAACTGACGTATTATGTATGATGTACTAAGTGGCAGTTCAATAAATGATCATTATTAATTATGAAAAACAATAGATAACCAATCCAGGGATCTGAACAAATTCTTTAGACACTCCCTCCACCCCCCCCCCCCCAAAATATTTTTTTATATCGTTTGCTTGATTTCAGAGAGGAGGGGAGAGGGAGAAAGAGACAGAAACATCAATGATGAGAGAGAATCATTGATCAGCTGTCTCCTGCACGCCCCCTATTGGGGAAAGAGCAAGCAACCTGGGCATGTGCCCTGACCCGGAATCAAACATGACCTCCTGGTTCACCGGTCAACGCTCAACCACTGAGCCACACCAGCTGGACTCTTTAGACTTCTTAAAATGAGGGATGCATTTGCTCAAGATTGGTGAAGGGCATGGTGACTGGCACTGCGAACTGAATGTCAACCAAGACAGACATAGTCCAGCTGCAGAGGTCCCCACGCCACCCCGAAGAAGGTGAGGTGTGGGGGGATGGCAACCAAGAGACCTACTGACATCCCTCAGCTTTCCTGTGGCTTTTCCTGGTCCTACCCTCGTCCCTGCTAACCCCCCTCAGCAGCGATTAGGAAGCTGGTGGGCCTCTCCTGCCCCCCTGCTTGGATCTTCCCCTTGCTCCCGCTCCAAGGCCATCCACAGCACCGGGGCTCTGAGTTACTCACCACTTGTCAAAAGCTCTAGGCGGTGAAGGCTAAAGGCATCATGTTTATAAGGACACTGGCCTTTTAGTAGGAGATATTTGAAAACCTTAAAGCCTTACGATCTAAAAAAAATAATCATCTAAAAACCAAAATTACTGTGGGATTAACATACAAGGCAAAGAGGACCTGGTAAGTCAAAACTAGTCTTGACCATCCCTTCGGAAGGTGGTTTTTCTTCTTAAGCCGGATGGACAGCTCGTGCTCCATTTGAGCACCATCTGAAGGAGAGGACTTGCTCTTGGGGCCATGTGGTGGGCACACATCCGTGATGCCGGCCCCTCCTTGCCCACGCCTCTAGCCTCGGCGCCCTGACAGCGTGTTTGTGACCTCCAGCTCGTCACATGGCCCCGATTTCCTCTGCTGGCTGGCGCCAGCCTGAGCCCTGCACCCTCCTCTGCCTCCATGAATGGCCCAACGACGGAACTCCTACCCTTAGCCTGCAGTGTAGCTACATCCCTCCATTGTCACCACACACGCACGGCACTCCACGGGGGACAAAGGGCTGAATGAGCCCCAGACCCTCGCCAACTCAGGCAGAGACAACTTAGGAAACTGCCTCATTCTTCCTTTCTTCACAGGCTGTTTGGGGAATTTCCTTGCATCCCAATGAGGCCCACAGCAAAAATGTGGCCAGAGAGGGAAACCTCAACCTCCAATGCTACTCCCCACCTCCTACCCCCGCTTCCTTCCCAGCACCTCTTCATGTCTTGAGAAACTGGACTTAGAGAAGGTGTGCCGGCAGGCCAGGAGGACCAAGACAATGCGAGGGACCCTGTGAATGACGCTGTCAAATAGGCTTCTTCACTTCGCTGCTAACTTTTTATTTTAAAAATATATTTTATTGATTTTGTACAGAGAGGAAGGGAGAGAGATAGAGAGTTAGAAACATCGATGAGAGAGAGTCATCGATCAGCTGCCTCTTATACACCCCCTACTGGGGATATGCCCGCAACCAAGGTACATGCCCTTGACCGGAATCAAACCCGGCACCCTTCAGTTCCCAAGCTCTATCCATTGAGCCAAACCGGTCTCGGCCACTGCTAACTTTTTAAACAGCTCACCAACCATCAGGACCTTGACATGCCAGGGTGACCCTAAAGAAGGGACATCTCATAACCTTCTCCTGGCGATATTTTTTTTTTTTTTTAAATATATATATTTTATTGATTTTTGTACAGAGAGGAAGGGAGAGGGATAGAGAGTTAGAAACATCAATGAGAGAGAGTCATTGATCAGCTGCCTCTTGCACACCCCCTACTGGGGATATGCCCGCAACCAAGGTACATGCCCTTGACCGGAATCGAACCCGGGACCCTTCAGTCCCCAAGCCGACGCTCTATCCATTGAGCCAAACCGGTCCCGGCCTGGCGATATTTTAGATTGTGACAGAGTTTTGATGCAACCTAAGAAGAGGATAAACGTCATGGCCGGTCACTCCAGTCCGTGTCTGTTCTGTTAAATATCTTCCAATAACTTCACAACATCACCATGGCCTGCCAGTCTCAATTCTACTTTTTCATTAGCCAATTAGTGAAGTTGTGTTGTGTGAAACTGAAGCGACTGGCTCTAAGACTAGGTCAGGTAAGACTTTCTGAGGGCCCTGGCCTATAATTGATGTTGAGAAATAGAAAGCTTTTGAAAAGCCCTGGAGAGACCAGAGGATTAGAAATGCACTTGAGACACATGTGCCCAGCCTTTGTCCTCTGTTCCTTCCTTCCTTCCTCCTCCTCTCCTTGTCTTCAGCATCCCTCGCAATTACTCTGCCAGGGGCTCCGGAGAAAGAGCCGAGTCAAAGCTGGGTCTTGTTCAAGAGATTCTATAGACAAGTGAGCAGTGAGATCAACGCTGGCACAGGGCACGAGCAGAGTGCCCAGGGGACGGAAGAGAAACCCCAATCCTGCCTGGGGAAGCAGGGAAAGGTTCACGGGGAACCAGGACAGTGCCCCTCAGACTTACCCTTGGCAACGGAAGTCGGTACAGGTTCCCCCAAAAGCCAGCACTGTCTCTCTGGCTGGTGTCTGTTTTTAGCAGCACTTATGAGTGGAAGGAAAAAGTACTTAAAATATACCACCCTCTGAGACTTTTATTCCCTGTAAAACTGTCAGGCTTCTCACTCAGCTTTCTGTTTGGAATGAAGCATTCCGGTTTATTTTGGCAACCGGAGGGAGCAACAAAGACCAACTTTCTCAGAACCCCATGAGTCCCTCCCATCAAAGCTTTCTGCTGCGGCCAGGGAGCCAGAGGAGCTTGTTCCGCTGTCTCCAGCCAATCAAGGGGACCCCCTTTTCAGCAGTTTGATCCCTGACAACCCCTGCACAGCGAACATTGTAAGCTTCAGGAGACCACAAATAACAAGGTGCACAGGACAGGCCCAGCCTGCAGGGACTCCAGAGTAAGATGTTGGCTCCTCCCGATTCCCACTCAGTGCTGAGAGCCAGGGTGTGTGTGTGTGTGTGTGTGTGTGTGTGTGTGTGTGTGTGTGTGTGTAGTATTGTGTGCTTGACTTCCTTGGGGAGAGCTCATGAAAACCTTTAAGCATTTCAGTGTGGCCCAAGGACACTGTATATATGTAGTATATGTTTACGTGTATGTTTTATGTGATAAGATAGGGGTAACATAAAATTGACCATCTAAATCATGTTTAAGTATGCAGCGGCTTTAAGTACATTCAGCTTGTTGTGCTCCCACATGTCAGCCCACACCGAAAGACCATAACCATTAAATAGTTCCTCCCCATTCCCTCCAGGCCCTGGTATCCTCTAGTCCACTATTCTAGGTATCTCACATAAGTAGAACTATAAAATATTTATCTTTTTGTGTCTGGTTTATTTCACTTAGCATGCTTTCAAGGCTCATCCATGTTGTAGCAGGTGTCAGAACTTGACTTATCTTTAAGGCTGAGTAATATTCCACTGCGTGTACATACCACATTTTATTTCTCCATTCCAATATTTTCAGTTATCAGGGTTCCTCTGCTGGGAGGCCTCGTGAGCACCTTCATCTGACGTGATTTCCTATTGCATTTATAGCTCTTAACACATGACTTGTCATTCATCTGTGACCTGCTTTTGCCAGGGTTTACCTACCTTACTCTTGATTCTCCACACTGCTGCTAAAGTTCTTTGAAGGAAGGAGCCTCATATTTTATTTTCCATGCACAACCCACCCCCCCAACTTCTACCTTAGTGCCTTGAGTTTATTCCTTGCTCATAATGCAAGGGTCTGGGACAAATGGGCCTTCAATAAACACTTGCACAAGTGATGGAGAGTAAGTGCTTGGATGAAATATACCACTTCTCAACTCAAGACATAGTACACAGAGCTCAGGAAGCAAAACTCACCTCCCTCCAAGAGCTGGTGCACCCTAAATTCTAGTCCTTTTATTTTCCTTCACTCTGTGCTTCGGCTCTTCAGAGAACACAGACTGACGGGTGGGAGGAGGCTTAGCACTTGGGAGTTAAGCACACAGACAGCCTGGCTCGGTGATGCTCAAGCCTTTCCACTGAGAACTTTCCTAGCGAGAGGGTAAGCAAGCCCTCTGGGGACTAGGGGTAAGCTTGAGACTTACTGAGGTCTCCAACTGTTACCTGAAGAGTGGTATAATTTCAGATTCTAAGTTTCTGCTTTGTTTTTAATATTAAAATGTTTAACCCCAAGCCCTGGGAGAAGGAGGCATGTCCACATCTCTGGGGGTCACTAGCTGGGATGTATAGAACTCGGAGGGAGTTTGTCTTCGTTTGACCCAGGCTGACAGCTGACTGGAATGGACTGGCTACATCTTATCTGGAAGGGCAAGCAGTTCCTCCAGCATGAAATGAGAGTGGTTTGTAGTCTGGAAAAGCAAAGCAGCCTGAGAGCCTGGGTGGTGCCCCAGAAATGACCTCTATGCATTCGAAACCAGTAAGGGGTGATAGAGAGAGATGGAGAAGGGTGGAGACCCACCAGTGGGCAATCAGCCACTGGGAGCAGATTTATAAGTACCTGAGAGATGTTACAATGCCTGGGGGTCGAACTCTTGTCCCTGACATTTCTGTTTCTGGGGGTCAGAAATGTCAGGGACAAGCTGGTTGGGAGTCCTTGTGGAAAGGCAGCCTTAATAGGAGGCATTCCTCAGAAAAGGGTGGAAGTGAGTCATTTCTATAAATGTTAAGTCCTGTCTCTAGAGGATTCAAAAAGCATTCCTCACCTGGAGCTGCCCTGGAGGGGTCGTTTCAATCTATATTTTGGAAACCATGTTTCAAATGCCTACAATGCTTTGGAGCCAGCATTTTAAAAGCATATCTGAGAACTGTTTCAGAGGAGGCCTGGTAGGTTCTATCCCAACCGTCAGCTCCTCCCTGCGTCACTTCCTGGAGAGGAGCGGCAAGGTGGGTGGGGAGGAAGCCTGCAGGCGGCAGGCTTAACCTTCTGCCCGGTGTCCCCAGAGAAGGCATAGGCCATAGAGGCACAGGCCATAGGCCTGTCAACCACATCACCCCTTAACTCAATATATTCCCACAGCACAACATTCAGACCCCCCGCCCCTCCCTCACACCAAGAACACCCAGAGGGGCCATCATAATGTCCCCCGGCATTCCTGAGCCTCTCCATGGTGATTCACAAGGGCCTTAGACTAACACCAGCTCCGGTTGCCTTTAAACCAAAGGCCTTTTTCAAACAATAAGATGCCAGGGCTGCAGCCAGGGTGGAGAGCGAAGTTCCCAGGCCACGATGGAGCTCCTGGGTTCTAATCCTAGCTCTGCCACTGCCCTACCCCCCACCCCTCTGTGCCTTCCCGATCTCTCAGAACCCCCTGGCTCAGACCTTTTAAGGGCTGCGGTCTTCTCCCAGCTAGACTAGGAGCTCATTTAACCCTGGACTGTCTCAGAACCTTTTTCCTCGGAAGGAGCTTCAAATTCTGACAGCCAGTATCACAGCCTCTGGGCCTCCCACGGGGCGCAGCATGGGAAAACCCACGTCTAAGAGCAGTTCCTTCCGTTGGTGTGGCCCTTCATTCTTCTCAACGTGTCTTGTACCCTATTGCCACATGGGACAAAGGGAAGTGAGAGGCAGAGGGGCTTGCCAAGGCCAGCACCGCCCTCGTGTGGGGACCTCTTGCACGGCCACACCCTCCAGGACAGCAGGCCCTTGCTCTGGCCCTCCCTTCTCCTCTGTGCCTCCCAGCCCTGGCGTGAGCAGACACGAAAGCTCGCCCAAAGGGTGAGGAGGCAGCTGACGTGTATGTCAATGGGAAGGAAGCAGGTTCACATCCACTGGGTAGCCCATGTCATAGAGCCAAATTAGTAACCGGCCTGCCCGCCCCCTTGCACCTGCTTGCTCAGTGCTTTTCTCTGTTTTAAGGCTTCTGAAACCTTAAGAGGAGGCCTTCCCTGCTGGATTTTGTACTCCCTTGGTTGTTGATCTTAGAAAACAGAAGCCACCACCAACAGAAGTACCTGACACATCATCACCAAACAAGGAGGTATCTGGTCTTAACCGAGAAGAGGGCTGCCACCTACCACATCAGTGTTGGTGATCTTGGCCAGCATCTCCACCAGGGCATCGGCGGTGAGCGAGCTCACTTCCTCGTCCTGCTGCAGCCCGCACACGGCGGCTCCCACACTCCCAGTCGCAATCATCGATGGCGGGTACATGGCGAACTTAAAGTCTGTGAAAATGAGGCACAAGGTCAGGGCGCGGGAAGGAATGAGACCCAGGAGCTCCCCAGCCTGAAGATACTCAGAAGCTGACCCCGGCCCTGCAGACCCAATCTGTCGGCTGGGGGTGGGGGGTGGGGAGGGGGCGCGTGCAGAGGGAAGACACAGGCTGCACTTCAACTTGAACCTTCAAAAACGGTTCAGCCTTGTGTTCCCCTTTCTTCCTCTGCAACGCACAGTGACAACAGCCCACGGAAGCACTTTTTACCAGTGACCCCACTGCCCGGCGCCAAGGCGTGGTGTTTTTAGAAACACCGCTGCTCACTGAACCGTGCTCAGACCTTCCTCCCGGCTCGGCCAGCCCCGTGGGCGCAGCCGGCCTGGCCATCTGACGGTCTGGCTGGCGTTCTTTCCCGAGCCCTCACACCATGTCTGCCTCTTGAGGGACATCTATGGTGATCATCTGCCCAAAGCCTGCTGTCCACCAGCCCCTCCAGTGCCGCCTCCTTCCCCACGGACACCAACAGAGCCAACCTGCTCTGCTGTAGGTCTCTTCCCCGGGGGGTCACAGGAGTGCTTCTCTGCCCAATAACCTCATTAGCTTCCCCCTGTGGCATTCATAACACGGAGGAGGAAGCCAGCCCGTGGCCCTGGGCCCACGGAAGCCTGGGTGGGAGCATCTGGCAGGGAAGGGCAGGTCCTTGAGCTCTCCTCCCTCTGTGCAGCTCTCAGACCAAGAAGCACACCTCACACAGACCTATCTTGGTTGTCCCTGTACACTCAAAAGCAACTTCTATTTGTAGCAGATTAACTTCTGGAAGCCAGGAGGTCTATAGAGGTGGTCCTGGGTGCAGCAGGCACTAGTTACCCAGGGCGCGCTCTCTCTCTCTCTCTCTCTCTCTCTCTCTCTCTTGTTTTGCTAGGAAAACACCGAGGAGAAGTCCTGGGGACAACGTCCCCTCTCCCCAGAACCGGGGAGCACCGTGTGCATGGACACAGCTGCCTCTCAACAGGTCAGAGTAGCACAGAGTACTGGCCTAGCACCCTCGTGGTGAGGAGCTGCTGGTAACCAGGCTGGCCGCCGCTCCGTGCCACCCTCTTTGGCAGCAGATTGGTGTCCTCAGGAGCCAGGAGCAGCTGCCCAGTTCGCCTGCTTAGTTAGACAGGAGGCGGCCTCAGCACTAAGAAGCCTGGTCCGGGCGTTGGGACCTTGAACAGGTCACTACCTCCCACAGCCCTTGGAATCTCATTAAGATCAGCGTTTTTCTAACCTCCAGTTGCAGTTCATTAGTGGGTCATGAAATTCATCAGTGGGGCATGACCAGCACTTTTAGTTGTTTAATGGAACAGAAGAGGATAGAAAGTATCAGGAAGCAGGGCAGGTAGTAAGAGTAAATACCTTTTTGAGAAACTTTTGTATCAGTTCGCTGTATTTATGTGTCTCTCCTGAGTTGTGTTATCTAGTGTGTTTCTTCCTTCGAGGTTTAGGTTAAAAAGCTTAAAGACCTCATGCTAGCTAATCTCCCAGATGCCCTCTAGCTCTAATTTGCTTTTACTCAAATATCTGGAAGAAGAGACTGGCCCTGACTGGGTGGCTCAGTTGGTTGGAGCATCGACCCATACACCAAAAGGTGGCGGGTTTAATTCCTGGTCAGAGCACATACCTAGGTTGTGGGTCAGTCACCGTATGTGTGGGAGGTGACCAATGCTTCTTTTACAATGTTTCTCTCTCTCTAGAAATCAATTAAAAACATATCCTGAGGGCTAAAAAGAAAAAACAAAAACAAACAAACAAAAAAACCCCCCAACTCCCTAGGGAAAAAAAGCAAGGAAGAGACAGCAGAATATAGCACGGCTTCCATTAGCCAGCAGTCACAAGGCATCTGGACGGTCCCGGGACCACCTCAGGGACACCCCCCCTGCCCCCCCCTTGCTGGTAGGTAAACAGCAGCGAGAAAAACACTAGAATGAAACATCTGAAGGGTCATGAACTTGCACTGGCTTTAGTCAGCCAACCCTCCCTCCCTCCCAACATTCCCATCCATGGAACAATCTACCAACCCATGTAGCTATTCCTAGAAACTTTAAAACTTTGGCTATGTGATCGGATTGAGAAATGCCCATGATATTACTTGGGGGTGGGAAAAGAACAGAAAAACATGCATAGGTAACTAATTTTACAACCTCTCATCAATATGTAAATACACACACACACACACACACACACACACACACACACATAGGGATGAACTAGGAGCATACCTAGAAAAGGTATACAAACTTTACTACCATTTGGTTGGGGAAATACATTTTTGTAAATTTTCTTTTAATATTATTTTACTTTAGGAAATAAAACCAAGTAAAAAATCTCTCAGAAATCTCTAAGTCTCTTGGTCAAAAATTCCAAGAAGCTGTATCTGGGTGCAGAAGGCACATGCAGGGTCAGGTTCTCTTTCCACCCTCGCTGCCCACGGAAAGGTGAGAAGTTTGTGACTTCCTGAGACCTCATCCCCCCAAACCCTCCTTTCTCCTGAAGTGTAATGAGAAGCGAGGGACTGGCCAGTGATCCGTTCAGAGGGATGGCCCCCCAGGATTGAAAGACAGTCAGATGGCACAGCCTGGTGCGTTCCCCATGCCTGGTGTACACACAGGTAACTTCTAAAGAAACTTCTCAAAGAACTGAGGTGCTTAAGTGGACAGAAGCCTTGGATACACATAGGAGGACTTTCCCAGGAGATGGGTAGGATTTGGACAGCAGAGCCAAGAAGCTCCAAGAATTGGAAGGTGGAATGCATGGAGGCTGATGTCCCACCACCCATAGCTGTGTGAACCTGGGCACGTTACCTGATCTCTCTGAGCCTATTTTCTTACCTGCAAATAAGGATAATTATACCCGCCTCATAGGGTTGTTCTGAAGATTAACTAAAATAATCCATGTAAAAGCATAGTGCCTGGCTCATGGTAAGGAACCTACCAGCTGCTGCCACCACCATCACTGTCATCACCACCACTGTTCTTGCCACTGGAAACTCATGTGGATTTGTGGTGGGCAGTTTGGAAGGCTGGAATCTGCTCAGCAGAGGTGAGGAGAAAGGTACCCGGCATCCTGGGTCTGCAGGCAGATGCTGAGTGAGAGCAGGCCAAGCACGCCAAGGGTGGGAGGAAAGAGGGCTCTGTGTGACCCGAAGAATCTTTCACTGTTAAATTGTGGGTGTGCGCCAGAAATGACCTCATCAAGTCCCCAAGCCTCCTGGTGGTTTGTCAAGAGTGGGAGAAACCGAGGCCCCACAGGAGAACTGACAGAGGTCACAAGCACACAAGGAAGACTTAAGGTGCAACTTAAGGTCCCAGAGGACTCCACATTCACTCAGGTGTGGTCCTCCCAGAGCCAAGGAGACAGAAGCCTCTGGCATAGCCTCCGCTCTCCTGGAGAGGGGGTGGGGGCAAGGGGCAGACTCGAGGGAAATCCACGGGTACTCTGCTGCTGTCTGCTTGCTCCCTTGTGGTAGGGATAGTGAGGAATTAATGACAGTGTACGAGACATCTATTCTGAAACATTTCCTTTAAGTCTCAAGAGGTGAAGTGACTTGTCTGATGTCTAATGCTAGGCCTGGGGTTAAGATCAAGACTTTTGGACTCTGGATCCAAGTGCTCTATATAACTTACCAAAAGGTGTCTTCTCAAGATCACCCCTGTCATCCCACTAAGGAATACAGGGTCCTCCTTCCTAACGGAAGTGGAAGAAAAGCCCAGAAAGATCCCTGGCTCAAGGGTCAATAAGATGGGTGCTATTTCCAGCCATGCCCCGGTGTGCCGGGTGACCTGCACAAGCCACCCAAAGACACCACAGCACCTCCCCGGCCCTGCTGGATCCTTCGTCTGAGCAAGGGCAGGGAGAAGTGCTAGTATTTGTCAGGTCGGTATTTGTGCTTCTTGGTAAGATTACTCCGAAGAAAGAGTTATGAGCTAATCAGGTTTAAAAGCACTGGTTCCATGGCCTTGTGGGTAAATTTAGTGCAGATGGTTTCGGCTCTGGTGACCAAGGCCTTGAAGTACAAGAGAAACTGCTTTACTTTTGCTCACCACTAGGGGGCAAGAGACCCTTGATCTGTGGCTATAGAGAAACAAATAATCCAACCAGGCCTTTTCCTATCTGTCTCCCTCCTCCATCCTGCAGTCAGGTGGGAGTTTAAAAGGCCAGTGAATGTCATTGGTAGCACACACCCCACCTGCCGCGCCCAGAAGAGGTTCAGCACATCCTGTCCCTGTGGGGCAGGACTGCCATGGCAAGCTCATGCCAACTTCTCTTCTCAGGCCTCGGTGGGAGGAATAGGGGAAGCCTGGAGAATGGTGAGCAGCCTGCCCCTCACTCATCTGATAGCCAGATGGGAAGTGAGATGTCACACTGCCCGTCCCCACTGGTGCACTTACAGAACTGAGACTCTGGGTTCTTCCCGGTTCAACTGGCTGCTTCCCCTCAGCCTCATGACCTTTCCGCTGGGGAGGCAGCGAGAGACTCACAGCTGGAAAGGTAGTTTCAATTCTTCCTTCTGGGCAACCATGAATGTAAGCCTCCTCTCTTTGGGTCAAGAGGCCGAGTCATTGGCCCTCTCTGGGCCTCCACTGTCCCTGGTGCCACAAAGCCATGAGACACCCTTTTGGTAAAGCCAGGAGGGCTGGGCGGGCACATGGTTCTCACCATCACCTGGGCTCAGGCCTTGGGGCTCTCTGTGCGTGGCACCAATTAGCCAAGCAGAGCATCTTGAGGTGGGGCTCCCAGGCTCGGGGATGTGGGGGACCATGGATAGGGAAGGATAAGCACCTCCGCCCCCCACTGCCACTCCCACTTCAAACTCAATGCCACCGCCTGTCTTCGAGGGTCTACGGGAATCTCCTGCTGTGCATGGGTTCAGGTGTCAAGAATCTCCCAGCACAGGAGTGCAAGGCCGAGTCATCTGAAACGGGCTACTTTCCTTGCTCGCAGACCTGGGGGCTCTGAGGCACAGGTCTGCCTCCCCAAGGTCAGAGCCCTAGGAAAGGGAAGACCAGGAGTAGTTGTGATGATGGCCTCACCCTCACCCTAATGCCCCCACTGAGCGGGTCGGCGGGGAGAGGAATACCAGGCAGTTGGAAGCCATCTCTTCCAGAAGCCACTGGGGCTGTGCAGGGAAGGAGGAGGGCACCTCTCTGTCCCGCCACCATCTTCTTCTTCAGCCCCGAGAAGGAAGGCTGACTTTCCGCTCCCCTTCCCGCGGCCCCTGGGTGCTCTCCGCTCTCTCTTCCCCTTTCACACACACATACGCTCTCCAGGCTGCACGCCCTGCCAGCTCTTTCACAACCAGCTTTCCCCATGAACCGGCTCCCCCGGACCCCTGTGGGCCTCTGGCCTTGGCCGCAGGTGCTTCTTCAGCTCCGTGACCCAAGGCCCAGGACTGGGGGGAGGGAGCAAGACGTGACGTGGAAGTGGAAGGCTGGAGGGGCTCCTACCTAAAGGCGGGAGGGTCACCTACCTGTGGTTCCGTTACCCTGGGCCTGCTACTTACCTGACCCCTGGGCCCGCACCCATCTGTCAGCCTGGCCCAGGATGTAGAATCTCATCTAATCAGAGGGTGTTTTCTCCAAGAAAGTCTAAGCCCTTAGCTTTTATACTGTCTGTGCCACCATGGAAACCTGCACACAGTGAGTTTCTGTAGGGCTCGGTCCTGCAGACCACTCCAGGCCAGACTAGGGAAAGAGACAGGAACATCCTTTCTCAACCTAGGACACGTCTGAGAACTTCCCTCTGCTCCGACAGTCCACACTGGAGGCTTTAGTACTCAGCACATGGCTTCTCATTTGGTGAGAGGTGTTCTTTCTCCTCTCTGTCCCCCAGATTCTGCCCCAAACCAGCTCAAAGTTCCCACAGGCAGTCTGCATAACTTCCTCTGCCTCCCCTCAGACCTCTGTCCTCAGTCCCTGAATCCCAGGCTCCCTACTCTGGCCCCAGAGTTGGCAGCCACCCCGAGGATCTGGGTAAGAAGGCCAGGAGTGGGGGATGGAATCCCCAATTTTAGAGAATGGGCCTTTGCAGAACCTGGGGATCTGCCCATGCCTGGGTTATTCCACTCACCAGCCCCACCCCAATCAGCAATCGGGGAGGAGGAATGAGTGGAAAGACCCCAAAAGATCTGTCATTCAAGAGACAAGGTCAAAGCAGAACTCGGGCTATCAACAGCTGGGCAACGGGGGAGCTTAGGGTTGCAGTCAGCTATCCTAGGGCCATAGAAAAAGGACTGGTTCCTCCCCACTCCCCCACCCTCACCCCCACCAGTGAATACTGACAAGGGAGTGGAAAGAAACAGCTAGGCCTGGGAGACAAAGTGGCAAGTCAATGAGGCCTGACCTTTAGGCCCAGGCTAGACAGCAGAAGGGAGGAAGCAAAAGAATAGCTACTGTCTCAAAGCAGCAAGAACCCGGGGAGCTCTGAAGAATGGCCCCCACGGCTTCGGGAAGGGGGCTCACTCTCCCACAAAGGGGCACAGGGCACACACACACCAGGAGGCCTGGTCCCGACCTGGAAGGGCAGGACCAAAGAGAACCAGCGAGAGGAACCCTGAGCCATGCAAATGTGGGTGGCATGGACACAGGGTCCCCCCAGGATTGAATGAGGGCAGCTAGAGAAGCAATCACACCCATCTCGGCTGGAGACAGTGGCATTTTCCGTTAGTGCCGTGGCACGTTGTCCTACACATTTCTTGGTTTGCAAATTACTTCCTTGCATATCCTTTCTGATTTTCATTTTTCTAACCACCGTGAAAAGGCTGTAGAGTCATGTATCTATAGGCGTGTTTTGCACATGAACACTGCCCAAGGTCTGCTCAATGATAAGTGGCAAAGCCTGACCTTTTGACTGTGGACATTAAGCATAAACACTAGTACATATTATAAGATCATCCTTACCCACCTACAAATAACATGCAGTAAGCTTTTTAAAAGTTAACCCCTTGGAGTCCCACCCCTACAATCCATATTGCTTTTGGCAAACATGAGCTAAACTCCCTTCCCGGCAAAAGATCTTTACCTAACATTTCTGAATGTGAAAATATAAGTTCCTGAAACCTTTCCCCCGCACAATGAAAGGTCCAGGTTCTCTCTCTCTCTCTCACCCATGGCCAAGGCAGGGAAGAAAATGGTAGAGACTGGCCAGGGCTCCGTTGAATGAGACAGTATCAAACCACACTGCCTTTAGTTCATTCGGGAAAGGCAAAGCAAATGAGGCAGGCACTCTGTATCAGCTGTGGGACCAACATAATGGGTGGAAAGATGTGAACATGGAACAGCCAGTGGAGGTGGCTGTATTTAGTCTGCAACTGAAGTCAAAACAGCCACGCACGGAGGACACCGGAAGCCAACGCAGAATGCGAGTCCTCACTGAGAGACAACCAGGTCCCCTCTCCCCCCCAAGCCCGGGAACAGCAAGGAGGCAGCAAAGGCCCTCGGTAAAAAGAAGTCCTTTGACCTCCCTCACCACTTATCGGTGCAGGCCATGTGTTTATTTTGACAGTGTTCCTTTCACCTGTATTTGCTCCCACCCCCAAATTTCCTCTTGGGCTTATCTCCAAGCCATCCTTTTCCTCAAAAGATTAAAGATTCAAACACAACCAGTGAACAGTATGTGTAATCTTCAAAGAGCACTTTAGACACCATAAAGCATATTTTAACAGGCACTATTTTTCTTCCTTACCACACCTGTCCTCATAAACCATTTATGAGTTCGGTAGAGAAAGAGAATATGGCAGCTCACATAAAGGAGAAACGGCCCGGGAATGAAACCTTGGACTCTTAAGATTACTCCAGGCCACCCCTCCCTTACACCCCAAACCCAGCCTGCCTCCCCAGGACCATTCCCCAAAGGGCTAACAGGGCTCTCCAGGACCCCGCCACCCCCGGCCTGCTCCTACCGGTGGCACACAGAGCGACGAAGGTCTGGGCATGCTTGCGGATCAGAGGCAACTTCTCATTGTCCTGGGGCAGCCTGCGCAGGATGGGCTCGATGAAGTCATGGGGAGTGACCGCAGCCAGGTTCCACTTCAACTTCCCCAGCACCACCAGCTCCCACTCCTGGCGGAGAAGGGAGAAGAGTATAAAACACACCGGCGACCCGGTGCTGCTGGGGCTGGGGGGTTGGGGTCCAGACAGTTTTAATGATGCTCATTAGGACGCTGCTGGGCTGTAAGGCTGCCCATTTGTCAGAGTGCTCTCGAGCTTTGAAGTTGGGGAAGGCTCTTCTTATGCTTCCAATGTCAGGCTCCACTGAAAATGAGAGTCTAGGTAGCGGCTGCCAAGATTCTACTTTCTTCTATTTCTTCTCCAGCTCCCCACCACCCCCACCCCACTCTGACTCCCATGCAATGCTACTGCTTGCCCACCCAGAACGCTGAACCCACAGTAGGCTGCTGCCAAGGTCACTGCAGCCCTTTGGTAGTAATTTATTGTATATGTCTCCATCACTGAGGTCTCTCTAATCCTCATGGAAAAATGATGCACACAGATAAAGCTCAAAATAAGGTTCCTTGGCCCAAATCCTTGGCAACCAATTAGCTTGCTTATAATTGGTGCCAAAAAATTGCCATTTTCCTCTCCGCTAAAACTTTTCCCTCAACACATAATACAGAAATTTTGGGGCAATGATACACAGTCAGAGCACCCTTTCATAGGGCATTGCCATCGAAGCTGAATGACCAAGATGGCCATTAGCAACCCATTGTGCACCTGGGAGGTGATTCAAGGTCGGGTGAAGGTGCTCTTAGTGCAAATGCTAAAGGGGACAATACAACTTTGTCTTTTTTAGGCCTTTTGTCAGCAGCTCACCTAGTAAAAAGCCTTTTCTCCCTTATTGAGATACTTCTGGGGAATTGCATTCAAAAGGAAGCAGGCCAAAATGAACACCTTAAAAATGTGTAGTTGGAGGGGAAATGGGCCTATCAATTGATCATCTTCAGGAGCACGCATCCTGTATGTACCCTGCTCTCTCTGTCCCTGAACACAGCTGATCGGACTCCCTTCCATCTGCTAGGCAGCAACCCGAGTCAGCCCTGCTTCCACAGCGCTGCCTGCCTGTAGGCCTGGGCTTGCTCCCTTCCCAGACTCAGCTTTCTCAGGTGTAAAATACTAGAACTCTTCAAGACCCCAACTTCTGGGATCAAGAGATGAGCAATGGGAAGGAGTATTTGTTTGGAGCAATATAAATCAGCATGGTTGATCCTGGAAAAATTGGGGTGTCCTAAAGGACATCTCAGTCTATCATCATGTTGGAACAAATGAACCATATGGAAGATCAATGTTCCTGCCCCCCCCCCGCCCCCTCCTCCGCCTGGAGGAAAACAAACTGGTTGCCAACTCTAACAAATTTTTTTTTTTTTACAAACTGTAAAGACTATTGAGGTAGAACAAAATCCCTGATAAGACGACTAAACCACCCGTGTCTTCTGAGATGTCTTGAAATTCCAGCCCTTCCTTCTCACGGGGGAATGCGAATATAAATCTCTCATCTTGTACCATTATTAAAGGAAGCAGATCTCCCAGAAGAAAGCACCTTTCTGGGCCTCTCCGGACCAACCCAGAAGCAGCTGAAATCTGGCAGCGGTTCAAAGGTGAAGTCATTCAGGCCCCGCTACATTCTCGGCAATTCCTCCTCCACCCTTGCACATGTCTGCCACTAGATGGCAGCACAGCTCCAGAAAGGAAGGCCTCTCACAAAGAGCTCAGTCCCAGCAGCCAGTTGGCTTGGTGGACTTAGTGCAGGCCTTGCCAGTAAGGGAAAGGGCGGTAGGAGGGGGCCCTTTTTCTAAAGGGTGTAGAGAAAGGTGTGCAGACACTGAAGGTGGGCGGCTCTACCATTCCATTACTGCAACATGGGCATCTTAAGTGTGGCGCTGCAGGGAAAAAGAGTTAGATTGGTGGGAAAAGGGTTTGCTGGTAGAAAACCAGTGAAGACAGGACCCATGTGGTTGTAGAGGTCACAGCGCCACTGGAGGCCGGAGCTCCTGTCTGAGATTCCTCCAGCGGGGGCCACATTTTGACTTTGCTCAAAAGTCAGTGAACTCGTATTTATTGAACAGCCACTATGTGCAGGTATCTTGAGACTTTATAGCAATATAGACACTACTGTTGAACTTCAAGTTCTTAGGGGACACATACCACCACTCATTCCAATCATGCGGACTCATTCCTATCCTGTGTGTAGCCAGGCTATTTTCTCGGAATACGGTGATTGAATTTTATTAAAATATTATCATTGGGTTCCCATGCATCTCCTACACACACACACACACACACACACACACACACACACAACTGCAAATGAATCTCACCAATACAAATCTCCATATAGCCTCAATAGTTCATGAGAACACACACACACACACACACACACACACACACAAATCTAATTAAAATAAATATTCCCTGTAAGTGTGAACGTTCCGGTGGTGGGTAATTCTGCATCCTAAGAATTTATTCGGAGACCAGGAGAGTCTAGGAGAGAGCTGGAAGTGGGACACGAAGGGAGGGAGGGAGGAGAGACATTACCAGCAGTTCCTCGGGCTTGATGGAGTTGTCGGTATAAATGCACAACTTTTCTGCCGTCAGGGGTATGGTCTCTTTGAGCTTGGAGGCCAGGAACATGCAAACAGCACCCAGGAGCTGAAGGTGGGTCTTAGGGGTCGGAACCCCAGCCAAGAAGCGGTCCAGGTAATTCATGGCCAAAGGGAAGACCTCCTCCTCACACTTCTGCTCCTCACAGACCTACAACGTGGGAAAGAATTGGGGGGGCGGGGGGGGGGAGAAAATATCAGGAAAAGAGAGAAAAAAGAAAAAGCATAATTTATAGAAATTACAAAAATATTTAATTTTTTTGTGGGTGGGGGAGGGGAGTAGAATGTGATAAGAATAGAAATGAGGAAATTGGGGTAAATCTAAATAGCCCATCCCTGCTGGGGGATTCTTCAGAAACCTTAAAAAACATAACAAACAAACAAAAAACGGTGAAATTAAAGGTCCAAAACAGGGGTTGGCTGAGGAGGGGGAGGCAAAGAAATCCGCAGCGCCGCCCGCAGCCTCACGCCGCTCCATTTGGCTATTCACTTCTTCCCTCACTCTAACTCACTCACTCTCTTTTTTGGATTTCGTCATCTTTTCAAAAAATCAATAAAAATATTCTGGAGGCTCCGGGGGTCTTCTTCTTGGTCTCATTCGAACCCCCAGACTCTACTCTATCATTCCCGACAATTGGAAAAATTGTCCCGGGGGGTCCACGCGGCCCAGGCGCCGCTATTGGGGGGGTGGGTGGGGAGAGGTGGGGAAGGGAGGGGGAGGGCGGCGAGGAGGAAGAGCGCCGCAGCCGAGGCGGCAGGAGTCGGAGCGAGGGGGGGACGGTTTCAAAAAATAATTAAAAATCGAGGAAATACCCTAGAAAAGCCCTTTTGGCGTGAAAACCCCAAAGAGGACCCAGGCTTCCCAAAACGGAGGTTTCGGGTGCCGGAAAGGTCCGTTGCTCTATCCCTGGGGCTTCGGATCCCGAGGGGAAACTTGGAGGGGTGAGAGCCGCGGCGGGAGTGTCCGGCCGCGGCCCACAAGGGCAGAGACGGGGGGATGTGATGAGGAGCCGGGGGACCGAAAGGACCCGGGAGCCGCCGGAGAGGCACGGGGACTCCGATCTCTTCTTTCGGGGTGCCCCCATCTCCCCCCCTGCACATACCTCCTCCCCCCTCTCCACCCCACCCAAATCTCCGCACCGAGGACACTGGGAGGCCAAACTGTAAGTAACCGCTGTGACCTGCGGGCCGGGGGAGAGGGCGGCGGGAGGAGCGGGGCGGCCACGATAACGGGGTGCGAGGGGGAACGGGCGGCGTTCTCTAGCCTTTCCAACCCGAGTTTTGCAAAGCAACATGGCGAAACCACGGCAGGTCCGGGGCTGTGCATACGTGGGCACACGGCTTGCTCTCGGCCAAGATTTGGAGCAAGGATAAAGACATGGTTCTTTGGGTCTCCCCCTAAAACACACACGCTTCCTCAGTGTGACTTCCGGGGCTCCTCAATTCCCCGTTCCTCTCCCTCCTCCCCCCTCTCCCCTCCCCCCCCCCCCCCCCCCGTGAGTGCCAACGCGGAGTCGCGACCACATGCGGGGACCTGGGGCGAGGGCGAATTTGCTCTAGCCTGGGTGGGGGGCCGGGAGGCTGCTTTAAAAAAAAAAAAAAAAAAACGTCTAGGTCCCGATTTCACTGTCCTAGTCTCTCCTCTTAACTGCGCACAGGGCAGGTCAGAATGGGGGTGGGAAGAGGCAGCCACATGCATGCACACGCGCGCGCGGATGCTCCCCCACCCCCACTCCGAGTCTGCCTCGTTTCTCCCAGATTTCCCTCCCCTCCCCCACAGTGAATCTTGCATCTTGCAAGGGACTGAAATGGGGCCACGCGTCTCGCCAAAGGGCGCGGGGGGACCTCGAACACAGGAGCCGGGAGGCGGGAGCGGAGGCTATCTTCCTCCTCTCCCAGTTTTAGGGCCTCCTACGCGGGTGCGAGTGCGGGTAGTGAGGGGGGAAGAGATACCTCCGGGTGGGGACAGGCGGAACGTGTCCGCGAACCTACCTCCAGCATCCAGGTGGCCACCATCCTGCGCATGAAGGGCTGGATGTCCTTCTGCACGCACTTGAAGTAGGAGCACTGGGGGAGGTAGCGCTCCTCGATGGTGAGCAAGTTCTGCAGGACGCGCTCGTCGCGCAGCAGGTTGCCGTCGGGCACGGCCCTGCGGACCCGGTCCATCTCGCCGCACAGCAGCTCCATGGCCAGCGGGGTGCCCGCTCGGTCCCCCCGCTTTCTCTCTCGGACTGGAAAAGTTTTTTTTGTTTTTTTTTTTGAAGGTGGGGAAGGGGAAAGGGTTCCCCTTAACCTCCTTGCTCTGGCTAAGTGGGGTGGTGGTCGGGGGGAATGGTAAGGGCAGAGAGGGAAGCTGAGGGAGGAGAGAGAGGAAAAGGATGGGTGGTGGAGAGGAGAGCCGCGGGGTCTGCAGACTCTGCCTCTCCTCCCCTCCGGACTGTCTCGCTCTCCCCAGCTCGCTCGCCTCTTCTGCTCAGCGAGGCGGTGACGCAAACTGGCTGGGCAGTCCTCCTCCCTCTCGCCGCGCTCCCCTCTCCGGTTCCTCCTCCCCTTCCCTCCCCTCCCGGCCCTCCCCTCCGCCTTTCAATCTCTCCCTCCCTCCCTCCCTCGCTCCTTTCCCCTCTCGTTATTAAGGAGAACAGCAGCTGGCCCGACCTAACAGCAGTCTGCCCCCCCACCCCCCAGCTCTCCGAGACGCTCTCCCTCCATCCAGCCAGCCCCGCATGCCAGGGGCCCCGGATAGGGGAACCCACCAAAAAGCACCGATTCTCTTATTGATTCCCTCTAATTTCGCATACGCTGTCGATGTAGCCTACCAAAGTGCGACCCTCCAATTTTGGCTTCTTCAAAACTCATCCTGTCACTCCTGCCCATGTATGGAAGACCCGGGAATGAGGGGCAGATTACTTGGAGACGGAGAGACAATTTAGAAATAGACCACTTAAGTAAAAAAATAAAGGAGTGCGATTCCAGAAAAATTGCTACCTCGCATACCCAGAGACACAGGTTATATATCTTAAGTCCTTGATCATCTCGAAGGTGTTTCAAAAGCCCATTCAAAGGGACCAGAAAAGCGTCCTCTCTGCATCCCCCCCCCCCCCCGCCCGCCTGCACACGCACGCCGAGTGTGTGGCGAGGAAGGGGGGAGGAGGGCAGGAGGGAGGAGGCAGCCTCTCCGACGTGGTAGAATGTGACCCTGAGCTGCAACCGGCCTGTTCTTGGGGGCGCTATTGGGAGCCAGGGCGAGGCGCCCGGAGCCGCGGCAGGCGGGGCGGGGACGGGCTGCCACGGGTCCCCCGCGGCCGGCGGCCACGCAGGAGAAACCCGCTTCCGCGCCCCGGCCTCTGCCGACAAGCTGGGCGAGGTGTCTGCGCCGAGCGTGGCCGCACTGATACAGCTTTCTAGGAAATAGCCGGGAGGGGGAGGGGAGGGAAGGGAGGGGGGAGCTCACCCTCCCTACCCCGGTGCTAATGCCACCCTGTGCTTTCCCCGAAGGCCCCTGGCCTCCACCGCCCCTGCGTCCGCACCCCCGCAGACCCCTCGGGGTCGCGCCTCGCCCGCCCGCCAGGCGTCCTCCCCGGGAGCGGTCCTGCGGCGGGGACCGGGGATGCTGCCCGCACGGTCGGCGGGGACACGTGCTCACAGGCATCCTCGGGTCTGGCTGCTTTCGCAAGGGACATGGTGGCGTTTCCTCACCTCCTTCCTCTCGCCACCCCTGCCCTGCCTCTGTGTGTCACTGCGCTTCGGGAGGAAGGGGAGTGAGCCCCGCACCCCAGTGTGCGAGCCGACCTGGCACGTGCAGGGAGCCTGGCGTGGGTCGGGGTTCTGGACCTACCGAGGGCAGTCTCTACCGAGAGCCGCCCTTACCGAGAACTGGGACCCCGAACCCGGGTGTGGAGAGCAAGTGGTGGGGGGAGGGAAGAGGGGGTAGGCTGGGTGAGCAGCTAACGCCGTTCCCTGAAGGGAGGGGGTGAAGGAGGTGGTGGCATAGAGGTGGCAGGGACTGAATAAAACCAGAGGTGCTAGCGATTAACTTAGGCCCGGGGCCAGCCCCTAAACGAGGGTGGGGCGGAAGGGGCAGGGGGAGGGGATATCGCTTTAAAAGGGTGTGTAAGAGTTTGGGGCGCCGTCTCCCCTCCCTCTATTTGCATAGCCAATGGCTCTGGGGCTCCTGCTACTGCGCGCTGATTGTTACCGGGCAGATTACTTTTTTTTTTCTTTTCTTTTTCTTTTCTTTTCTTTTTTTTTTTTTTCTTTTGGTAGGAAGGGTTCTTCGCTACATCAAAAGGAAGCCTAGCCTGGGCGGAGGGAGAGCGGGGCCCGCGGGCGAGGCTGGGCAGAGGCCGGGCGCCTCGGTCCTTATCAATAGCTGCGCGAATTGGTGTTCCATCTACTGTACGGAGAGGGGAGGGGAGGGGAGGGGCAGGCGAGGAAAATGACTAATTGCTGTGGAAGCCATTAGTTTTAGGGAAGAAGAAGAAGAAGAAGAAAAAAGCGTACTGAAAAACCCGAGTAGCAAATTCAAAATGAAACAGTCGAGGAGGACCAGCTCAAAGCAATGACATCGGGTGCTTGTTCCCTGGAGTAGTCGGTCCCTAACAATCACCTATTGATTTTGCTCAACTTGGGACTTCCCGACTTCAACTTTGAGTCAGTCACTCCGGGTAAATACACCAACTTACATGTGAAGACCCCCATAAAGGGAAAAACTCAAACGTAGCCGCCTTTGAGCAGATCAAAGAAAGCTGCGGGGGGTGGAGGGGGTGGAGGTGCTGGGAGAGGTATTTTTAAAGTATAAATCTACCCCGACAGGCAAGGACAGAAGCCAGGGAGGGCTTCCAGCCTCTTGACATCACTTGATAACTAATCGAGAGGGGTTCTCTCTCCACCCCCCATCCCTACCCCCACCCCTACCCCTACCTCCGGCAGAAAAAGCGTCCCCAGCCCTGGTCCCCAGGACGGGGCGGAGAAGAGAAGGTGGTCTACCTCCGGGTCTCGCCCACCTTGGGGAGATACCATGGGTGGCGAACCCTCAAGTCTCCGGCCCTCTCGCCCCTTCCCTCCGCCCTACCCCTACCCCTACCCCAGTCCCGCTTTGGAGAGGAATTCAGCAGGGAGCGGGCGGGGGCAGAGGTGGCTGCGGTGGGGCGGGGCGAGAGTGGAGACCCCCCTTCTCAGTTCACCGGGACCCGCAGGTTCGGAAGCTTCCCGCGGCTCAGAGGTCTCGCCTTTGCAAGTTCCCCCATTTACTTCCCCTTCCTACACGGACTGCTCCTGAACGTCAACTTCGCAGCGAATCAGCCCCCCCAGTCCCGGTTCAGTCTCCCCCACTCGCGGGGTGGGGCGCGGGAGGGTGCGGAGGTTGGCAGGAATGCCTCGGAGAGGCTTGGACTGGAAGCCGACTTTCCCTTCGGTGGCTGCTCAGACCACGTGTTAAAGCCTTACTTCTGCTGGGCAAGCAGCTCTCCGCCCCGCACGTGGGGGGAAAGCGTGTTGCTTCCTGGGCAGCAGCGCGCGTTTTCTGTAAGTGAAGACTTGCTCTGAGAGAAAAATCAGGCGCCGGTGCTGAGGCTTCGAAGTAAAAACTGGGCGCTTGGGGAAGGGTGGTAGGAAAAAGAAATAAAGAAAAAAAAATGTTGGTTCTTCCTTACACCTTTTCACCCTTCGGGGGGGGGGGGGAGAACCCCACACCCTGTCCTTTGTAGGATCAGTGATAAACTTGAGCAAATGCAAGTTTTAAAAGCCTTTTTTTAGTCCCTCCCTTGCGGGCTCCCCACTTCCTACTCCTAGCGTTTTGGAGTTTCGGTTGGAAAGTGTACAAAACCCAGTAGGTGCAGGGTGCAGCCAGGTGTTGGGTGTTTATAGACACATTTCTGCAGGAACTTGCAACGCTAAACACATAGACTCCCCAGCTAGCCCGGCAGATGCCCGCCCTCCAGGTGATCCCGGAGCCTCCAAGCTGCGGAGTCCCGAGAGTTCGAGCCCCGGTGCCTCCGCGTCGGGCTGCCAGGCCGGGGTGGAGGAAGGGGATGAGTTCAGGCTCAGGGACAGGGCCGTCGCCCTCCCCTGCCTCCCCCGAAGGGCAGAGCGGTCTGTGTGCTTCTCCTTGGAGGGATGGATGGTCAGACAACCAAAACCGAAAACCCGACAGTTACTTCAAAGTGGATGGCAATAAGTCCCAGTTCCAGCTTCGGGCCTCGGGAATACCGGGAAGGAACGGGAGGAAGTATAGGAAGATAAATTTTTTGTGTGTGTGAGGGGAGAGAATAAAAAGAGAGTAAGAATAAACTAGAAAAAAAAAAGTGTGAAAGTAAAAGAAGAAAAGGTCGGCAACTGGAGAACAAGGGGGAAGGTGGGTGGGTGGTTCGGATCGAGGGGCCGGGAGTCTCCCCGAAACCTGGGCAAGGCAATTCCAGGTGTGAACAGGCTTCCGGGGGCGCTCTCGCCGCCGCCCCCACCCGCCACGTCCCCGGGAGCTCGGGGTCCTGCGGGGGCACAGCCGGGGGCGGGGAGGGCTGCAGCTCGGGCCGGGGCCGCGCGCCGGGGCTGCACTGCGATTGGCGTGGGTTGGGCAGGGCGCAGCCGTCCCTTCGCCCACCTCGCATCTCTCTGCCCTCTCTTAGAAAACAAACAGTAAAAAGACCCGAACTTCCCCCTCTTCCTGTCTGATTCAGCGGTAGGACACGCCTCACGTGGCCGAAAATAGCTCTGGAAGCGCATTCGCTTCATAAAAGTGAATTTCCCAACCCGATTTGGGGCGGAGGGCGGCCCTGCCTCCGGGGAGGACAGGAACGGCCCCTCCCGGCCCCTCGCCCCCCACCTCGCCCCCAGGCGCCCCGGGAGGGGGCCGCTGCTCCGCTCGCGGAGCCACCACGCGGCTTTTTCGCGGAATTTTGACGTCACCGCACGGGGGGCGGGGGCCGGGGCGCGGGAGGAAGCGGCGGGGGCGGGGGCGGCGGGGCGCGCGCGGGGTGGCGGCCGCGTGTCCGGCTCCGCGCGGGGGGCGCGCGGCGGAGGGGAAGGCTGGTTTGCTCGCGAGCCGCAGGGCACCCTCCCCAGCCCCTCCGCCCCCGCCATCTTCCACTGCCCCCCCTCCCTCCGCCACCCCCAGAGAGGTGTTTTGTGGTGGTTTTTTGTTTGTTTGTTCTGTGTGCGTGGTTGGTTTTTGTTTTGTTTTGTCTTTTTTA